CAAAGACATCTTAACTAAAACTAAATTGTGCAGGATATACATGCTTAATTATAATCTGACCTAATACCTTAAATTATACAACAAAGGGTGGATAAATATCATTGGAAAAACGGTTGCTCCACTAAACCACTAAAATGAATGCATTTCATATATCTTTAAATATTTAGGTAGGGCTATCTTTAATTGTTAAACAAGATTATAATGACATAAAGTGGTAATTACAAATAATAACAGCATCACTTCCTTGCATAAATGTCAATCTATTATTTTCAATATTTATTATATCCCAGTGTGTATATGCTGCAGTATGGAAAAAGTAGTGACAAGAACAGTAAAGATGATTTTCCCATTGTTGTTGGAAAAATTAGTATGATGTTGTCACATTAAATTAAGCATAAGGAAATGTGGAGTAAATAAAGTAAATGAGACTATGATATAAAATGAAGAATTAAATCTTTGTTCTTTTTACCTGAAACTGTGACCTTCTGTGTAGCCTACTGTTTTTGAAGAAGATGAAGAAGAATAGTAGTAGTAGTAGTAGTAGTGGTGGTAATTGTAGGATTTACATTGAAAGTTAAATCAATTGCTAGGAACCATCACTAAATAGCTATAATTATGGTATAACATTCTTTGTTTTATGGAGAAAGGATAAGGGATATTATTTCAGTAAGAATTAAAATTTATTATAGATTTCTAATAATTTTTCTGTTTGTTTAACCAGTTAATATTCTGGGACCTTAGGCCTCTGTGTAAAACACAAGGAATGCACTGAAATGTGCCTCAATCAGCATGTCCCAAGTAATAACATAGACCAGGACATTATAAACTGGTCCATTCACTACCTCCCTAATGAAGAACAGTTAAGCATGGCTCCTCTTTGTCTGGTTCCCACTACGGATCACCCTCCTTATTAATACCATGGCTCAGGGGTGTTTGTCAATTGCCCAAAGAATGATCAACAGATGAGAAACCTGCAAGGGGAATAGATAAACTACACCTAATGATGTAATAACCAATTGTGATTGCATGGATTAAAAGGCACAACAGTGCTTATGTCTTGCTCATTCACTCCTCTCCTCTCTCAATCAATCTTTAATAATATGAGAACAATACCAACCATGTGATAACAGTCATTGCAGTCTGAGTCAGACCTTGAATTTAAATCAAAATGCCAGGCTGAAAGAGTCCAAACATAACAGAAATCTGCACGTTTTTTCTCTGCAACAGAGGAAACCTCATGTCTAGTGATCTAATTGTTACTGTATCAATTAAATTAGTATAGTTGTATCTTTTTGTTGACATCCTGAATATCAGAGCATATTCAGTAATAATACTGGGATGATCCGGGTTCTCTCCTTCCTTCTCACTTGTAGCTAGATCCAAGACAGACACTGTGCACAGTTTTTAAAAACATTGTTTAATTATTCTATTATTCTTACATAGATAATAGAAGAAGAAAGAAAATATTTCAGAAAATTATTTAAAAGAAAAGGAATCCAATTAAAATAAAGGAGTTGAATGAACTCCACGCACAAGGAAAATTATAACAAAAAGGCAAAGACAGATAAGAATATTTTGAGGATACAATTAAAGTATTTTTCAGCATTACGATAGATAAAAATAATATTAAAAAATGAAATCCGGTGTATCAAATACAATATCAATACAATAAAAGGAAACTTTATTTTATATTAAATAAGCTTTTCTTAAACTGTTCAACAAGGAAATTGAAAAAATGTGTTAAAAAAACAAGAAAACGATTTATATAGCAATAAGATTGAACTGCAGTATTCAGTACAAAAAGAAGAGAAGAGAGGACGTTATCGTCAAAAGGAGTTGGTTAATAGTACAATGTCTAAACAAACTTAAAGTTCTGGCCAGTCCTGCCAACAACATATGTAAGTTATATAATTATAGGCATCTCACCAAAGCAAAGGTGATGAGTGATCACCATACATACAGATGCAGCCATTCAAAATAAGTGTGGTATGCTGCGGTACAATAATTAATATTTTAATTCTGCAGAAATATTTTTGCATCAAAGTCTTTACCGAAGATATCATTAATAGTATTAATAACAAATGACCTTGGACAAGCTGTAAACTCAAAGTATTACCCTGGTCCACATTCTTTGTAGTCGTCTTTGTAAAGGAAAATACTTTATTTTTTCATTGACAAAAAGTAACACCACAGCATTTAGTTGATCCGATCACGTATTAGTTTCCAATCATACAAAGTAAGTCTTGAAAATCTCAGATTCACCATGCCTTTCACATGCTCATAAATAATATTAATTTAGGAACATAAACATATTACGTAAACTGTACTGTATATTGCTAATACACACCAGTATTTCATTTCTCTATAAACATTTTAAGCATCAAAGTCTTACATGTGGTTATTTCGGGAACGTTTTTACGTGCTCCTTCTGACTATATTGCTGTACGTTTATATACTTTGTGAAAATTGATCGTTTAAACCTTTTCTGTGAATACGCTCGTTATCGGATTAAACAAAAGCATACTTTTAGAATTGGATTAATAGGGAATATAATATGGATTCGCGTATCTAGATATAAGCTTAATAGCT